TTGTAGGTAAATGTGTGCGTGCAGATACACAACGGTACACGATGGTATGCTTCTCCGAAATGACGTCAAAGGGGGATTGTTGCAGCATTGGCAGCAATTATTGCGCATCAGTTGTAACAACTGCAGCAGCAGCAACAACAACAACTGGCGACAGCCGACAGGCGACGGAGGAGCGAATATTTAAGCTCGCTAAATTGTATGTTGCCACAGCTGGCAGTGCTTAAGCAGCCAAGTGAGCGTATAAGTTATTAAGCAACAGAAAAATATGTAACAACATCTGCTGACGATTATGCGTGTAAATATATGACTACTCACATCCACACCAACATTGGCTACATGGGGCTGGCGAATTCGGCGTGAACTCGCTGGAGCGCTTATGAAGAACATTCTTTTTCAAGAGCCGTTAAAGCCGCTTATGTTGCATAATGGCGAAGGACTTTCGTGTAAAGAAGTTGTATGGACACAAATAATCTTTAATGGGGGTACAATCAGATTGTGCTTGTGGCAAACAAATACCTACAGACAATCACAAATTTCCCGTACACGTGAGGGAGTGAGAAGAGGGCTTCTTTTGTGCCTATTACATAATTATGTGTTTTTAATTAAGTGTCCCCTTTCTTATTCACTCTCTGGTGCCTAGTGTTGCAGGTGCATAACTGCACTTTGGTGGAAGAGTGTGGGCTGAATTCTTACCTCATACAAAGGCGCTTCAGCTACTTCAATGTGCATGGATGTGTGCACCATTTGTATGTGCATGAGTCATCATTCAGTCGTTCACTACTCTATCTTCATATCTTCTTATTTCATAGTATTTCATAGACTCCGTTATGACTATTTGGCGTTATACGTGCACACATAATCGAGTGTGTGTTTCTTTAGTGCCTTTCAACCGAGTTTTATACGCGGTTAACCACTAATAAAACCACAAGCCTGTGTGGACAATATATACTTTCGAAAACTTCTTAATTGACATAAATAGATAAAGGCTCCGCGCAACGCTGCAGCAACCCTGAAGTAATCAAGTGTCATCTAGGCTCATTTTACATATTAAGTATCTGCAATTGCAGCAATTACTTTGGCTTTTAAGTGCGTAGGTGTGTGTGGGACTAGTGTGGGCGACTTTTCAAAAGCACTGTAAATATGTTTCACCACTTAATGTCTTTTCTGCATCTTTTTATAATAAACAGTAATTTACAGGGCTTAAGCCCTTGAAACCAATCACCAAATATACAGCGTCTACCAATAGAGACGTCGTGATTTTGACAGCTCGTGGCAGCCATATTTATTTATGGACTTCTGTCAAATTTTGTCTATGTATTCAATAAGGTTTGCCATTTCAGCATATCACGTTTCACTTACAATTGTACAATTGTCCAAAAATGTGGCTACTGTACAATGAAAAATCTTCTTCTTAGATTAGGCCCATTTCTGGCTTATTAACTTCGTCAACAAACAAATTCGTGCGGTTCAGGAAACGCAATTGCATCCCTAAAAATTTACCGTTTGGTGTGACCAATCAACAACGCTTGATGAGTTCGAAGAAAACCTTCAGCGCATTATAGCCGAAATGCTGCACCGGGGCATCGACAATTAGCGTAAACAGAGTTGTGGTGGCCATTTGGCTGCCACTTTGTTCAAATCATAAATATAATAAAATAGTCCAAAAATCCATTTGAATCAATTTGAGTGTTTAATTTGATTTTAAAGTCACGTCGTTCTTGTTGGTAGACCCTTTACATATTAAAATAATACAAATACAAATAATAATGTTGATCTGTGAAGGGGGATGTTGAAAGAGGTGAACTTACATTATATGTAAATGGCGATGGCGATTATTACGTTATTTGGAAGAATTTGTATTATATTTATTAAAATCTATTATTTTTTTGAGATTGGTTTGAAATTTATTTACAAAAATTTGTTCACAAGGTTCATAGAGTTTTTGTTCAACGTCGGACATATGAAAAAGGTATATCTTTATAAAAAAAAATTTTTTCTTTGTTTTTCTTAAAAACTTTTGCATTGCTAATGAAATTATAACTAGATGAATAATGACTTAAAACTTAATTTATTGAGTTCGGTCTAAATGTCAGATGCTTAGTAATTATTTATTCTGCTGTTTGCTGCTTAGTCATGTTTTCAAGTACAATCGCGTAAGTTCAAATGATTGCATTTGACATTTGTCATTGAACAACCATTTGTCTAACATTAACTGAAGCATTAACATGATTTGTACAGATTTATTGCTTTGTGACAAATTCGCTTTCGACAAGTTATTTGAAGAACTTGCCGTGACATGTGACTAATTGCAGTAGTGAAGTTTTTGCCTTGGCAACTCGCACGCAGATAAAGTGAGCTCTGCAAATTTTAGCAGCAAAAAAGTGGCCCAACTACATTTTTCGCGTTAATTCAAATATGGAATAAGTATTACGCATATGTAAATGAATGGAAACAATAACAAAAATCATCAATCATTTTATATTATTTCAAACTGCTTAGTCTCCTTTAGGAATTTGTTGTCTAAGATGCTTATATATATGTAGTATTGAGGCTCTATACCTATACCTTCTGGACTTTTTGAGATTAGATACCGATTTGATTAATTTGCAGTTTCTTTTTCGTTTCTTTAACGAATGCTAAAAGTTCGTATGTATCTAAGCCAATCGCCAGAAAAACGGTTAAAATTGTCACCATCGACGAGAAGAAAATTGAATCTCTTCAGATATGGCAGTATTTTAATGACATAAATAATTGCAGATACTATTTTTCCAAATATATTGGATTTCTAAGAAATCAAAGTCACACAAGACATACATACTTGTATGTATGTAATAAATGAAATCTGACTGAATATTTAGGAATACTCAGTGCCCACGTTAGTGTGAGAATGTTCTTCTGCAAGAAAATGTATTTCCTAAATAGTCGTAAAGAGCGCTACAAAGCCATGAGCATAAAAATCGGAAAGCACATAAAATTCTAATGCGGGGAAACTATGTGAAGGTGATTGTACCCCCGTTGTACAGTTAACTAATAGTTGGAATAAAGCTCGTGAAGAGTATGTACAACTTCATTCATATTTTAAAATGCTCAGCTGCATGAAGAATTAACGGTCACATAATTAATGAATATATTTGTGTGCACACACTTATGCGATCGCCATGAACCCTCCAAATGGAGTGCCATATCAAAACTCCGTAATTCGTCATTATTAGTTGGGAAGTCTTTACATTTACATATAATATCTGTCTAATACTTGTATATATATGTAATGCATATAAAAGTACATATGTTAAAGTTTCGAGTTATTAAGTTTAAGTACGCTTCGGATTCAATGGCAATTAAAATTCCAGCCACGGTTTACGCGTTTGTCATTTAATATCTATGATCAATGCATTTGCACAACTAAACTCACACATATGTGTATGTATGTGTGTTTCTGTGAAGAAAACGCTAGCGTGTCATTGGGACTAATCATATCTCTTAAGCGTGGCTGCTTTGAAACCGAACAATTTCATTGCAAATCAGAGCATAAAGGGTATAATATGATACCGCAAGATGCATGTGTGTCTCAACACTGGTTAGCAAGAGCACAACATTCAAATCGTTTATAAACATATACGAGGTGTGTTCTATGGAAATGCTGAATTTTGAATTTTTATTCAACAATATCTATTTTGCTCCCTTCAAAGTAGTCCCCCTCGAACATAATACACTTGTGTCAACGCTTTTTCCAATCCTTGAAGCACTTCTGAACTGCGCTTTTCGCTATGGCGATCAGCTTTTTCTTCGATTCTGACTTGATCTCCTCAATTGTGGCAAAACGCTTTCCTTTCATTGGTTTCTTTAGTTTTTTGAATAGGAAAAAGTCGCAAGGAGCCAAATCTTGTGAATACGGTGGTTGAGGCAGTATTACGGTTTTGTTTTTGGCTAAATGAGAGAAATTTGAATGGCATGAGCAGATTGATATGCCAACATTCTCTGCAGCTTCTCTAATAGTGATTCGACACTTTTCAAGAAAAATTTGCTTTACTGCTTCGATGTTTTTTTCGCTTGTTGGTGTGATCGCACTTCGTCAACAAATATTCTCGGCCTTCTGTAAAGCGCTTGTACCACTTATAAACACTTTTTTTAACCAAAGTGTGGACTCAGCAAATGCCACAGTCAACATTTCAAGTGCTTTGGAGCACTTTATTCCATTTTTAACGCAAAATTTAACACATATTCTTTGATCCATTTCTTTCAAAAACCAACTACTAATCGAAATTGGCTCCTAATACAAGCACATGGTAAACATATGTGTCCGATTATAACAAAAACAAAATTTCGATAATCGAATTTACACAGTCCGCGAAAAACCAAAATTCAACTTTTCCTTTGAACACACCTCGTAATATTGTATACGAATAAAATTGTAAACAAGTCTCAGCGTGACCATAAACAATTCGTTTGATCTCGATCCCACAGCCAATCCCGAATAATAACTTGACTGATTTTTACAATTTTAAGGTTATTTGCTCAATTAAGCCACTAATCAATATGTGTATATGTACATATGTATAAAATAAATCCACTTTAAAACACAGATTATGGGTAGCCCGTTGTATTCTAATATTTATTTCGCTCCGCTGTTAGTACCGAAGCTATACACACATCTCTAGTATGCAAATAGTAGCGTTGTGACTGTCAACTGGATGTTTGCCGTCAATAGCATTGACGGCTGCACCGTTGGCAGCGGTGTAACTTGTGGGACTTCAGCTGTTTCAAATTATTATTCAAAGAGAATGCAGAACTAGTTTACTATTGTTCGCACTTAAGGTGGAAGTATGTAAGTGCTTTCTATGCTTGGCTAACGGCGTGTTTATTTCATGAAGTAGAGTAGGTGTAAGACAATACGCCAGAAACGTTCAAAGCGTCTAGCTTACAACAACAACAACTGGTGCGACGTCAGGTGTGCGGCGATACGACTAATTTACATATGAGAAGTATATAAAGCAACTTACCCAGCTTTCGCTGCTCGACACACGGATGCAACGAGGTATATGTGAGTGCGCGGGTGCCAAGCTTGCTCTCTCTCGCCTATGCGCTTATCTTATCAGTGTTAGATTTGCGAATTCCGCTTTGTTTTAGGTGAGTAACTCACTTTTTAGTAAAATATTTTGGACCTTATATTTCAAAATAGCTTAGTTAGGTAGGTGAAAAGAAGGGCACACTATTCAACGGTTTATGCCTCACAAAAATATTCACTGCGCTTTTGAAACCGATGGCTCTTAAGGGTGGGTATGAAAACTCAATTCACTGGTATTAAAATCTTTATGCGCGGAATTCACTGAACTTGGCGCAATTACTTTATCACACTATTGCACGATTTCGGCGCACAAATAAATAGTTTTTAGAATTTGTTTTAGAGTTTTCCACTTGTTTACGTCTTTACACTGCTTGCACTTTTCCTATCCACCTTGCTTACGTAATTGCATCGCACAGTTTACGTCTGCGCTTGTACTCGTCCAAAAATGTATGTAGTTTCCGAAGTTGCGTGCACTCGGTTTAATGCTACCAAACTACGCTAAGCTACTAACTGAGTCACACGCCGTCCAATAAAAGTCATGTACATTTCAACGTTCGACGCTCAACGACAAGAAGCGATCGCGCACTCCGCTCCTAAAGCGAATATTTACCTGCCTGTATACTTGTATATAGGTTTATACCCATGTACCATGTACTCGTATGTGTAGTTTGTGTGTGAATACGGGTATAATAAACGGCCAAGTGCGAGTATTGCCTTTCTTTATAGCTCACAGCTGATGATTAACACGAAATAATGTATACAAAATACTTTACGCTTCACGCTCGGTACGCCTTACGTTCGTAATTATAAAACATATTTATATACATATGTAAGTAGATAAGTTTGAATGTGGATATGTTTACTGCCGATCACTGCCTTTCGCGTTCCGCCTGCTTGGCTTACGACTACTTAAATGTGCTTATGCTTCTACGTCAAGGTAACGAAATTGGCAAAGTGGCGTCTAAGTCAAACAGCTGAGCAGTTAAAGGTAATCACTTGATAATTAAGAGTGCCGCTGCCAGACTAAAGCCCTCAAAGAGAGACCGAAAGAGCCGAGAGAGTGATCGTACGTACGCTTTGTATTTGAGCTCTTATCTATTGTACATACGATTGGGTCTACGTATGGCCATATACATATATATGTATAAATTATTAGATTATGGCATGTATGTATTTGTACAGTACACAAAGGTTGGTGGAGACGATATTCTGTCGTAACTCAACATTCTTGATAATGTTTGTTATATTACAAATATTTTGATCTCAAGCCTACAACAACATTTAAAATAGTTTTGTATTAGATTAGCAAATATAAGTTAAGCTACAGTTTATAACCGGATTTTTTTTTAGTATATACACACATAAGTATTTCTTTATTGATGCATTTAAGCCTTTATTCATGTCCTTCTTAGTGTGAAACGTCGGAGACAATACAAATTTGGTAATAAATATATGAGACGAGCTCTGTCGATTTAGCCATGCCCGTCTGTCTGTCCGTTTATCCGTCCGTTTGTTTGTATAATGCGAACTAGTCACTCAGTTTTTAAGATATTGAGCTGCAATTTTGATGACGTCCTTTTGTCACCAAGAAGTTGCTCATTTGTGGCCATGGCTGCCACACAAACTGATCGGTCAAAATCAAGTATTTGTCTTCATAGATTAATGCGAAGTTTGTTTATATAAAACAAGAAAGAACCAGCAAAATGTTTTTTGTTGGATGCGAACTGTTAGACGGTTAAGTTTTCCAGCTTTATTATACCCTGAACAGGGTATATAAGGTTTGCCACGAAGTTTGTAACACCCAGAAGGAAACGTCGGAGACCCTATAAAATATATACATAAATGATCAGCATGATGAGCTGAGTTGAAGGGAAAGTTAACCTTTTTTCTTGTTTGTTTATACAAATTATATAACTAGTTGCAATGAAGAGTACTATAGTTTTCGATGTTAACGTGATTTTCTGTTTTTCAATAAAATCGGAGAATGACAAAAAATGCACTTCTTATCAAGGTGTTTGTCTCTCTCCTAAAAGAAGCTGATATTGCCGTGAAGGGGACAAAACTTGACTTTTTACAAGGAATTAAAATACACCGTTGCAACCACATTAAACCATCGATAGTGTTGAATAGTTGTTCGCTTACAAATTAGATTTCGATTGATGAAAGCGGATAAATCAAAGAAATACCGTAGGCAAAGAGTGAGCACGATGACAGCGGAATTCACAGAAGATGAATTAAACATGCGCTCTCAAATGCATTCCATGTAACTTCATTGTATTTATGCATTGGCGTCCATGTTTACATCAATTCTCAATTATGGCATATACATCATGATTCATGATGATCAGCACTTCCATCAAACACTCTCACATCAGCACGACAATCGCATTTATTAACTACTTTTCCATCATTATCTGTAACATTCTGGAGTTGGTGACAGAGCCGAGCGTATCTTAAGGAGTGGTTTGCGTCAACATTATCACCAATCATCCATCAACAACTTGAAATTCGTAATGCTTGAATTTACAATATTTCGCACTCTAAGCATGAATGCAAGTCAACAGTGAAGCAGCATAAATTTATTACCCCTTCTCCGCCCACAGAAAGGACTGTTCGTTCGTGTTCGTTGCAATGCCCAGCATAATTGCATCGGATGAGGTTCCGCTGCACAGTAACATGAATACCGATATGAGTCCAACTAGATTCCATTTCACTGAAATTATTTTTCGATCTTTTATTATTTAGAAAAAAGTGCGTAATAAATTATATTAAACATATTTCATAAAATTAAATAAGCTATATTTTGTACCATATTTTACTAGTTAAAAATTTGGAATATTTCTCCCTTTTTGATCATTTGTCAACTTCAGAATTTTGTAATCATAATTTAGGGCATATTTTCAGGAAGTTTTCTACAACCAGATAACACTTAATTTTCAAGCGTTTAACTCGTATGACAATAAGGTTGGCTTACGCTGTCGATATACAATAGTTTAGAGTTTTTATTTTCCTTGTAAATTCCCCGATTAAGCCCTTTTTGGCTAACCTTGTTAATGGCTGGATGGGATGGGGTAAAAGGCATCAGTTATCATTTGCGGAAATACAAAAATTAATTTTTCGCAGAAACTATTTTTTATCACACTGTAAGCGCGCTTAGTATGAATCTGCAGACATGCCAGCATAAGGGTGCACATTCCTTGGCCGTTGAGCTGCTATGCAGCGGCAGCGACGAAATGATGTGTCACACAAAGGTGCATAGTGCAGCAATGTGGCATTCACTTACCCAGTCAACCATTCATTCGCACACACATGCGCCGGCATTCATTTCAAATGCATTCGCAATGCATCTCAATTCATTCATTTTGAATGTAATTTTCATTTCTTTAAGCAGCAAAAAATAAACACAAAAAGGAATTATGAAAATAAGCAAATAGAAACAAGAACAGCAGGAGAGGCTTGGTGTTGGTGGAGACGGTAAGGAGGTATATAAGCAGTGAGACAGGCACTTGATAAAAGCCTTGCCTTGCTACGCAATCATATGGTAAATATGTGCATGTGCGTGTGCCTGCTATAAGTTTAGCTGTCAATTGCTGCGAACATGTGACAGGTGACAACTCTGGAGTATGCGTACATCATTTGGCGCGGCAGGGTGTGAGGGCTAGGCAATAAACCATTGCAAAAGCCTTTTAGGCATTCACAAACATTACACTCTCATCTGTCATCATCATCATTGCAAAGCCACCACCACCTGCCCACACACCACACCATCCCGGCAATCAACATGGCAAATGTAAATGCATGCTAACATATGCATACAGATCTGCATTGACTTGGACAACATTACGCACGTAGGTCTAAGCAAACGCATGCACACATGTGCAGGTGTGTGAGTGCGCCGTGCCGCTTTTAATATTTATCCGCTCGCTTCCTGTCACGACTTTATTGCCAAAGCCTCGCTTCTCGCTACAATTTTCACACTCACTTTGTATTGCCAACACGTAAGTAGTTTATTCTCACCGTTATTATGATTTCTTTTCTTTGTTGTGCTGTTGCTTATGCAATCGTTTGAATTGGTGCGTCGCCAGGCTCACATCAAGAGTTGGCTTTGTGTTAGATTAAAAGCGGATGCAACATGTGCACTAATGCGCCTGAGACGCATCTAATCTGAGTATGTGCATCATCTCCACATCAATGCCGCATACTGCCGTGAATTCCGTTATACTGTTCTATTTGCCATCAATGGTGATAAAAACTGTAATATATTGAAATTCAACTTTTAAGGGGCACACTTAGTGTGACAGCCGAAAAAATGCTATTTTTAAGAATTAAAACAAAAACTACTTAATCAATTTTTTAAAAATGTTTACAGTGTATTTAGGCAAGTTTTAAAAATATCTACTAAATTGTTTGAAGAAAAAAATTAAATATTTTTCGAATTACAAGCGGTCTTCGACGGGATTAAAAAGGTCCCCAACTGCTACTGCCATTCCTGCCTTCTTTGTGGATGAAACATAAAAATCATTGTTGTTAAGCAAGAAGATATTGCCCGTACAATGACTAACGTTACTGTCGAAAAGAAATCGAATGTTTAGAAAATACCGGCGCTTAAAAACAAAAAGTTGGATTTCATCCAAATTTTGGTCCTTCTCGATTAGTTAAAAAAACCGGTAGGTCATTGTGTGGAGACCTATATATGGATCTTGCAGAAAAAACTTGGTAATTATCAGATGATATATCTCCGAATATTACTGCAGCAAATTCAATATAAACTAATTAAGCTGATAGAACTGAGCGGCTACACTTTAGAAGACTGTAAGAGATTATTTCAGATATCGCTGTAAGATTTACCTTATTTAGTAAATGACGCAGTGTTATCAAAATCGTAATTGAGATGCTAATTCACTCATTTTGTGTTAGCTTATTCTTAACGCGTTTGTTATACGGAGTGATCCACACTCTGTGGATGCACTACGCTCAGCTCAAATGAGGCAAATTGTTTTGCTAGAATTGCCGATCGATCTTTTTCCAATAAATGATAAGCAAAATGCGTTCCTCCGTGGAATTTTATTTTAATATAAAGCAGAATAACCAAAATAAAGGCGAATAGTATTAAAGTAAGTAAGAGGGCACTAAGTTTGGATGAAGTCGAATATTAGATACACCTGATTTTTAACATAACCGCCAATATTAGGAGTGGAAAGATGTTTAAACCCCTTTCAGGGTTCCTAAATTGAATTAAAACGTTAATAAAAAATATATAAAAGTCTGTAATGCTAATCACCTTTTTCAAAATCCTAACGATTATTTATAATAAATTAATTATCTTCTTCTTGCAATAATTTTACTAAGTTTAATTTTCTAAGAAACGATAAAAACATAATATGATTGATCCCAAGGACTTTGGTTGTGAAATTACAAATCTAAAGATTGTTTTGCGCAACTATCTCATTTCGGTTAATACATCTCACGCTACATTTTTATTAAACATTTAGTGCCCTAATCGCCAAAATTCGCCGAAATTTGTTCGCCAGAGTAAACAAGTGTAACATGGTAAATAAATCCAAGCAATATTTCATGAAGACACATACTTCTTGCCACACTTACTAACACATCTTATCCTGTGTAAATCTCCCTACAGCAACTCCCTTTGCATATAGCCACTGCTCTGTCTGTCGGTGGAGCTGTGTGTCCTCACTTGCGTATTGCTCGGCACACAATCGCAACTAATAAATGACACTAACGCACTGCTGAGATACTAACACAAAGCCTTTAGTAAGTAGTTTTTAATATATGGACTTGTACGATATGCCTAAAAGCCGAGCAAAGATACACCTGCAATACGAAACACACAGGCGAACATGCAGAAATGTTGGCAACCGAAGCCAAGCATACTTCCGAACATACGGCTCATTTGTAT